AACCGCTTCTTCGGCGGCAGGTATTACTGCTTGGTGTGCTTCAGCAGGATTAGAAAAGTGAATAGAAAATTAGTAAATGGAGAATGAACCCGCCGTATAGTGGCAATGTAAAAACGTATTTCGAAAGGCTTTCAAACCTTGATGAGCGCTGTAGTCGAAGCGTCAGTTCATAAAATCGTTTACCATAAGTTTGTATTAGTTCAGCTAAAATGCTAATCTAACATTCCTGTGGACGATAGCTTTTTCAAATGTTCCTACATCTCGAACTTACATGATTTCGAATGTTCGGATCGTGTTAAGCATCTGCTGCGCCGTCCACTAATAGTGCGCATACTATAGATTTTAATGTTATTGAGTTTCTTGTTATCTCCGGTCATCCCACTTTTTGAGATTTGATTTTTACTGAATTGTCGAAAAGGAGTTGGCATGTTGAATATTAAGTTGCTTCTGCCAAACGAGGTTGTTATGTGAACCTTTTATTAGCTAACGTTTCGACCTCTCGGGCCTTCCACAGAGGCCATAAGAGGCCGAAGGTGCCACCGTGCGGAGCCTAGCTCTCGCTGTCTGTTAGTTGGTTAGTAAGGACGAACCTTTCGTCCTTACTAACCAACTAACAGACGCGCGAGAGGCTGGCTCGATCACGGGGCACCTTCGGCCTCTGAAGAAGACGAGAAGGTCGAAACGTTAGGCCAATAAAAGGTTCACCTAACAACCTCGTTTGGCAGAAGCAACTTAATATTCGACACCATGCCGAGGTTACAACAAGGGAGAACGTGGAGATTATGGATTGGCACGTTGTTTTTCTGAGGGCCTATTTCTGCTGTAGGACCCCGCTTTCTGAGGGAAAGAGCGGGAGAAAAAAGAGTTAATCCCTCTTCTTTTTTTCCTACTATAAGTACTTGTCGATGTCTTCGACGCTGTAATTGCTTGAAGGCGTTCACAACTATGCGGGCACTCTTTGAGCGGTTGCAGGTTTGAGCGACCAGTGGAAGAAGAGGCAGCTCCACTTGTCGTCGAGCGTACCTAGTGTTTTCACGACACCACGAAACGCCTAAAACGCTGGCGCAGAGATGAATGCGCAAAAATTCTCAGATACGTGGTCCTGTTGTTCCAGGCAGGTTTTAGGTGTGAACCGTAACGGAAACCTCAAAAAAAAAATGAAACAGCTAGAGATCTAAGCATGCTAAGTTTACAAGAAGAGGCAAGCTGGTGAATGTAAATGTTGAATGACTGAAGAAGTATTTGTTCCTTTTCTCTGCTCTGCGGATATCTTTAGAAGACATGAAAAAAGAAACATTGGAATAATGCCTACAGTCAACCATAGGCTACCTCTAAACTGAAGCATCTCACGGCGAAACTAATCCTAGGTGCCGGGCGCAATTAACACATTGGCGACAAGGCGCCTTTTCGCGTGTCTGCCGCGTGGGACGAAGCAATTTTTCCCTATTTTTGAGGAATGCGCATGAATGCTAGAGCGTTTACACACCAAAACACTTTGCAAAAGGACTAGTATTCAATGCAGAAGCTAGTAAATTTTTGCTGTTTTTTTACTTTCAATTTAAACCCTTAATTTTCGTGGAATACTCCCGCCCCATACACGCGGAGCGTGGGAAAGAGGTCGCAAAAAAAGGAATTTTTTGGCGCCAAAGGCAGTAAATTGGATTCGATCCAGATCTGCTATTGTAGAAAGTTACCTTATCACGTTAGCTATCTACATGTGGAGCTTGAGTTCTATTTATCCAAAATTACCTTTTTTTCCTAAGGAAATCACTTTCCTTTGTATCCTCCGTAAAATACTCCCAATGAAACAACTGTTAGTTTTGCAGCTACTGTATATTCTACAATGCCTTCCTGTACAATATGTAGCTGTTGAAAATTTGAAACGTTTTCAAATTGGTTTTTTACCCATGCCGCATCCCAGCAGTGGGACGCAATGTCCCACGCGGCAAAAAAGGTGCGTCCCAGCAGTGGGACGCAATGTCGCCAACGTGTTAAAAATGCAGTCACGCTTCTCCATTTTTGGGATACGGAGGTGCCAATGTCTTTTCTTAACACCAGAATTCAAGTTTTGTCATTACGAAAGCTTTAGATTTATTTCCGGTGTAAAAAACGCCAGTCCACTTGTTAAGCTTGTCATGTTGGGATAGCTTATTGGTTTACTAGTTGATTCCGTGCCAGTCTCTTTTGAAACCTGAGCCTAGCAGCTCGATAAGTTTTTATTAAAAAACGTTCTGGTGAGCTCGCGACGTCCCGGCATTCGCTTTCTCAGAGGCTTGGAAGCTTCGTGAGTATTGTCACATGCCATTTTTTTTCTGTGCAGCGTCTGTTCGTTTGATCTCTCCCAACTTCCCTTTAGACACATCAAACACAGTGGTGCCCTCAAGAAAAGATCTCCTCTTATCACTTCAGTTGCGCCATTGCTGAATAATTACGTCAGAAAGTTGAAATGTATGGTGTAGTTCATTGCGGACGGTTGGGCGTGTTCGTGCGGCTGCGTTTGGCGCGGTGCCAAACTCGTTCTCCACGAGTTGTTCAAGCGAGCAAATGACAATACTGTATCATACCTTTCGTATTACTTGTTTTCTACTGCTTTTTTGTCGGCATTGCCCGGTTTCAACAAGAAGCACTGAGAACAGCTCAAACGAGGCGTGACACACTTCATACTGCGCTGACACGTCACCGTCCGCCAGCGAAGCTAGAGCATACCCTGAATCTAGTTGTTGAGACAGCGGTGAAATCAACGCTTCTTCGGTGGGAGGTATGACTGCTTGGTGTGCTTCAGCAGAGTTTGAGAAAGTGAATAGAAAATAGAATGGAAATGAACCCGTCAGAGTAGGTGGCATGTAAACGTATGTCGAAAGGCTTTCAAATCCTCGATGACGCTTGTTTTGTCGAAGCGTCAGGTTCAATAAAATCTTTACCATAAAGTTGTAATAGTCACAAAATGCAATCTACATTCCTGTGACGATAGCTTTTTCATGTTCCTACACTCGACTTACATGATTTCGAAATGTTCTTGGATGTGTAACAGCTGCTGCTGCCGTCCACTAATAGTGCGCATACTATAGATTTTAATGTTATTGAGTTTCTTGTTATCTCCGGTCATCCCACTTTTTGAGATTTGATTTTTACTGAATTGTCGAAAAGGAGTTGGCATGTTGAATATTAAGTTGCTTCTGCCAAACGAGGTTGTTAGGTGAACCTTTTATTGGCCTAACGTTTCGACCTTCTCGTCTTCTTCAGAGGCCGAAGGTGCCACCGTGCGGAGCCCAGCTCTCGCGGTCTGTTAGTTGGGTTAGTAAGGACGAAGCGATTCGTCCTTACTAACCCAACTAACAGACAGCGAGAGCTAGGCTCCGCACGGTGGCACCTTCGGCCTCTGAAGAAGACGAGAAGGTCGAAACGTTAGGCCAATAAAAGGTTCACCTAACAACCTCGTTTGGCAGAAGCAACTTAATATTCGACACCATGCCGAGGTTACAACAAGGGAGAACGTGGAGATTATTAGTTGGCACGTTGTTTTTCTGGGGCCTATTTCTGCTGTAGGGCCGCTCCTGAAGGGAAGGAGGCGGGAGAAAAAGAGTTATCCTCTTCTTTTCCTACTATAAGTACTCTGTCGATGTTCTTCGACGCTGTAATTGCTTGAAGTGCGTTCACACTATGCGGCAGCTCTTTGAGCGTTTGGCAGCGTTTTGAGCGACCAGGGAAGGATAGGCATCCATCTTTCGTCTTGAGCGTACAGTGTTTTCAACGACTACCAGCGAAAACGCTTAAAACGCTGGCGCAGAGAATGAATGCAGCAAAAATTCTTCAGATAGTTGGTCCTGTTGTTCCAGGCAAGGGTTTTGGGTGGAACCGTACGGAAACCTCAAAAAAAATGAAACAGCTAGAGGATCTAACATGCTAAGTTTACAAGAAGAGGCAAGCTGGTGAATGTAAATGTTGAATGACTGAAGAAGTATTTGTTCCTTTTCTCTGCTCTGCGGATATCTTTAGAAGACTGAAAAAAAAATTTGGAATATGCTGCATCAACCATAGCTACGCTTGCTTTGGCATTTACACAGTCCTCTTTTGATTTTATTCGCCGGATGCCCCTGCAGAGTTTTCCTCCCAAGCGCTGTCCGTTTACTGATCTTTCCAGCGTTGGTTTACCTCACTATGGATATTTTCTTTCTTTCGAATACATCCACCACTCAGGATATTTAGATTTCGCACGTGAGCCCGACCTTTCACAGCTGGAAAAACTGGGGAATTCGTGTGAAAAGTCTGTTTCATCAAAAATGCTTGCACGTGTCTTCTCTTCCATTTTCATTCTCTCTCGTTTTTTTCTGTCCAGTTCTAGCGCGAAGGAGCGCAAGTGCGTTTTTTTTGTCAGTTCACCGATTCTCCTATTTCTAGTTTTTTTTTGCTGAACTTGGGAATGTCAGCAGATTGATGTGGGAGATCTTGTCTGGGAGGTTTCATGACTTTGGTCGAATCTAACCTCATCTGAACGAAACCTGGAGATTTTCCTAAAGCAGGCGAGGGTGTCGTAACCAGCCAGAAGTTTTCTTTTCTGGTTATTGATTCTCCCGTCCCATTCCCAGTTGACAGCATCAAAATTTAATTGTTCCTGACAGTTGATCAAGGGTTTTCCCCGTCAATGGTTTCAGGGAGGGGTTATTTTGAAGACTTTTTCGAGGCCCGTACAACTTTGTAATTGAGTTTCGTTTCCTCGAGGTGTAGATATTGCTGCTGTAGTTCAGCGAAAAAATCAAAAAAGCAAATCAAAGTCTTGAAAAGCAGTGTTATTGAAATAAGTAGGAGTCGTTCATACTCGTCAGTGTTTTGAGCATACGCCGACATCTTGTGCGTTTCGCGGGTACTTTTGATTTTTTCGTATACAGTCGCTGAAAGCGGCGGCGTACGCTCACAACGCTGGCGCAAAGTACGAAAGCAGCCTAAAGGTCTTGGCTTTAGAATCAGGGTATGTTCACTGTTCGTTTCAGGTGCGTATTCTTATGGTCGGTCTGGATGCAGCTGGTAAAACGACCATTCTGTACAAACTGAAGCTTGGAGAGATTGTGACCACGATTCCGACAATCGGTAAAATGGATTTTCTGGTCTCTTCATTCAATTTCCCTAAAATTTTCGCGTGGGTGTCAGTTGAGTGGTGAGAACTATCAAAGATAAGTGTAACACTTTAGGATTTAACGTGGAAACGGTCGAATACAAGAACATTTCCTTCACTGTGTGGGACGTCGGAGGTCAGGATAAGATCCGTCCTCTGTGGAGGCACTATTTCCAGAATACTCAGGGACTTATCTTTGTGGTATGACTTTTCATACTATTTGAAGAACTTTTTCTCTTTCTAAACAACATGAGCCGGTTTCTCAAGGTTGAAAAAAAGTTTTTTGTCTGTCATTTTTCTGACATTCTGCTAATGTAGGGTTCCTCTGTTCAAATAGCTGTTATTCATGCATTTTCTCACCATTTCAACCATTTTGGCTTAAACAGGCCCCCGCTGCTGGCTTTCATTACTCACAATTATATACAGGTGGATTCCAATGATCGCGAGCGAATTGAAGAATCCCGCGAAGAACTTCACAAGATGCTCAATGAAGACGAGCTGAGGGACGCAACTCTTCTTGTGTTCGCCAACAAACAGGTTTGTCATAATATTGTGTGAGGTTTTTTTTGCTCACTTTCCGCTTTGCACGGCATGTATTCATAAGTTCGTTTTTTTAAACAATTCTGCTCAGGATCTCCCCAATGCCATGAGTGCCGCTGAATTGACGGATAAATTGGGACTGCACAATCTGCGCTCTCGACAGGTATTGATTTTCCCTGATTTTCCACGTATTATTCATTTACTGGCTATGGGTGGTCTAAAGTTACCGTACTTTGAATAGAATGCTGAAGTGCATGGATGCATGCATCGCAGAAGTTTCTGTTTTTGTTGCCAATTTATCATTGTCCCCTTTTGTGCCTGTTGTTGTGAAAGCGTTCAGGCATGAAATGTCAGGTCAGATATCGTGGCTAGATCTGGGCGCGCGATATAATTTCCCCGTATTAACCACGGCTAGAATGGGCAGTGAGCCAATTGTGGGGTATGCGGTTCAAAACACAGGGGCGGGGAGGGGGCATTTGCACTCTTGCCACTTCACATCGACATCTCGAGCCATAAACGGAAGATCTGTGAAATTTTGTGAAGCCAAAGTTTGTAGTGACCACCAGCCAAGTCTTGCGAAGCATTGGATACCATACAAATTTCACTCACCATGGTGGAAGAGTTTGCTCCACCAGCTCCACAACAATTTACAGGTTTCACCAGACTGAGACTTGTAAACTGGGACTATTAAAGCATTGAATGGGCAAAATTCCCCCCCCCCCCTTCCCTGTCGCCAAACTGTGCCGTCGAATCATATGGTAGTTCGCTTGCATTTTAAAGAAGCTATTGACGTTGACTGGCTGTACTTTCAGCAGGTTTCTTTTTGCTTTGGAGGTTTTCAGTTTTTAATGGAGGCAATCTTTTCTCAATTCATTCGCAGGCTGTGCAAGGATACTTTTGGCAATTCGAACTGCACTGCGATTTAGTAGAGACGGATCCTTTCTTGCTTGTTCTACCTGCTCCTAGCTGTTATAAGCTCCAGCAGGGGAAAAGTAACTTTAGCCTGAAAGTCTTCGTGTCGTGATCGCTTTGAGAGTTAGGTAGCCGATTTGCTGCTTTTGAACGTTTTCTTCGTATTAGCACTGGAAGTTTGATGGCTTTGAAGCTCCAAAAATCTATTTGTCGCGGTGTGCAATGTTAGGCTGCGTTCATACTTGACTATGCGCGATACGGTCAGAGTGCTAGCTTGATACGTGTACTTCGCTCAAACGCGCGTACTTTCGCTGAAAACGCTGACGCGAAGTGTGAACGCACCTTATTGCTGTCCTTCCTTCACCCATGAACAGGTCAAGCTTATGGGTTTCATGCAGTTTTGTTCGTCACGTATTCGTTGATTTTGCACATTGTATGCTTTTATGCATATGCATAATTGTACGTGAGCAGAACAGTCTAGCCGTTTTAGGCCCTAAGTGATACTCTTTCTTGCAACTAACTGTTGGACTGCTTAACCCTTGAATCTCATCATTGTGCTGCATCAAAACGTCATCAGGATCCGGACCTTATGTTGCATGAAAAGTGCCTTAGGTCTCTCCGGAAGGACGACCACATTCTCTGTTCAAATGCGGTCATGTGCAATTTTTTTAAGGGTGGACAGAAACGATGCGTGCTGGGTGAGCCACTCCACCTGTTCGAACTCTCACATTCCACTAATTCATACGGATTTAGTTCCGGGCATTGAAGGCACAGCATCTCGCGCGAACCAGATGTTGTTTGCTAGTTGGCTTGACATAGCGTTGTGGCAAACTAGTTCACCGTTTATTCCACGGCCTCATCCCTAAAAAAACCTCTGATGAGAGATGAATTGCTTTCTTCGATTTCACGTTTCGATTGTGACTGGATGAATGGATGCCATTCCATTCCGAAGCTGTCCGATTATGAATATGAGCAACATTTCTCAGCGACTATCAGTGCCTGAACCGGAAGGAGTGGTTTATTCATTGTAGAGATTTTTCGAGATAAGGCGGTCAGATAAACTGCACGGGCTACTGCAGCACCAGGAATCGACGCCAAAATGCTGTCTCGAGCGAAGTAACTAGGACTAGGCTAGCTAGGGCGGGCTGCTTCTTGGGTGTACTGGATGTAATGAAGTTTTGGCAAGCTCAACCTTCCAGCTGCTGTCACCACTCTTTTTTGAGAAAACGTTACAAGAGTGAAACTTCTTTGTTCGGAGTCACGATAAGTAGCTAGTATAGCCGGCGCCCGCCGCCGAGAATAGCGCTGAGGTTGACGGCTGAACAAAAATCACGACCTTGCATAAGGATGAGTCTAGAGAAACAGAGTATTTTGAAATGAATTGGGTCTGGTGGCTCAAATCGCGTGAGAATAACTAGCTCATTAGTCTATACATACTGTATGAAAAATTGCTTCACATGAATGTAAGACAGAACAACAGAACATTCGAGCTTCATTATACAACACTTCTTGAAGTGAAGGAAGATAACTATCACTACCTCTTGGGAAGAATCCCTTACACTGAACCACTCATGTTCGCTTTCCCACTCACCCCCTATCTCCGTCAACCTTTTTCACTGCGCTCAGCAGAATGCTAGGCTTGAAATTAGCCGAAACCTATGTATTTTCGTCTATTAATCTCCTCGTTGTCCCTTGTTATAATCTCGGCATGAGGTCGAATTTTTAATTACTTCTGCCGGATGAGGTTGTTAGATGGAGGCTTTTTTGGCCCAACGTTCTGATCTTCTCGTTTTCTTCAAAGGGCTGAAAACGGGGCCCGAAGGTTATGTTCTACTAACTACTGATCACACGCATTCCTCACTCTAGCGTCTCGAATATCGTGTCCTTGTAAACAACCGGATAATAACTGCAAGCAGCTCACCAAAGGCGCCATTCTCATTCGACACGGTGAGACTCATGTGAGGCTTATTCCTCCTTACTAATACACAGTTTAAGTTAGGCTCCGCTGGGATCTTGGGTGAGTTGTTTGCAGTTATTTACCATTTATTTACAAGCGTTGGGTCACGACGTCGGAATTGCTAGGGTGGGAAAGACGTCTGGTCTAGTTGATAAATCAGAAGCTTTGAGCCTTTTTGAGGGCTCTGAAAGAGGAGGAGGAGGAAACGTCAGGCCAATGAGAAGTCCCATCTAAGAACCTCATCTGGCAGAAGTAATTAAAAATTCGACATCGTGCCGACGTTATAACAAGGGACAAAACGAGGAGATTATTAGACAAAAAAGCAGGTTTTGGCCGGTTTTGGCACCATTTCAAGCCTAGTAAGTTCTGCTGAGCGCAGTAGACAAGGCTGAAGGAGACAGGGGGTGAGTAGGCAACTTAACAGGGGTGGTTCATTGAAAGGGATTCTTACAATGAGATAGTGGTACTCCAACGCTATTATTGTTTTCTTGAATTTTTTTTATTTTCAGTGGTACATCCAAGCGACATGCGCCACGCAAGGACACGGACTGTACGAAGGTTTGGACTGGCTGTCGAACCAGCTCTCAAAATCGTAAATTCCATTCACTCATCGTAATGCTAATGCTCTTTTAATCCAATGTACGTTATTGTTGTAATATGAAAATGAATGGTAACGTATGCTGCCCGCCTTCGGCTCCGTCTTACGATGTGTGTATGTCTGTCTGTGTTACCGAATTCCACGAGGTATTCGGTCTATAATAGCGCAAGGGTAGTCCCTCCTTAGCGCATCTATTGTTTTTTTTTCGTGGATATTGTTTAACACCGCAATTTATCATTACTTGTTAACTTTACCGATCGGGCTCCATTGTGATGATCGACTGGATAATGCCTCGTATAGACAGTTGAGGGCATTCGACGGTGATAGCCAAGGGGTGGCGATTCTGCATATTAATCATTTTTGGTTTTCCTAAAGAAATCCAGCTCTTTTCACGCGTTCTTTGAGTATTATTGTCGCAATGCTCTCATCTGTCGTTTTCAACATTATCGGTGGATGTGATGTTTTCTTTTTCCTTTTTTTGTCTTCTTGCGGATGTACTAATAAAATATTTTATTAGTCATTAAGGCATGTCATTATTGTGATGGGAGGGGGATGGAAAGGGGTTCTTTTCATTTACTCATTTCTGAAGAAATGGGCGCGTGCTGGGAAGTTGAGGACCATTCCTTGAGAAAAGCACTGGGTGGAGAGTGCAGGATGTGAGAGAACGCAGACAGCAAGTGCACTCGGCTATAGTTAGGCCTCGGCTTTGGGATGGCTCCCATGTACAGTCCTGTTCGCTGCGTATTCTGGGGTGGTCAGGGAGGGACAGGCAAGGTTTGGCTTGGAGCCAGCCCGTTCTCCATCAACTGTTGCGCATACCGCGCCTCAACAATTGGTGGAGAGTGGATTGGCGCTGCGCCAAACCAGCCCCCCCCCCTTGCCCCTCCTGACCCGTCGGAGCATTCGTAGCGAATAAAACTGTAGCACGTCATCAAGAAAGAGCTAACTGGATCCATGCCAGAGTAGAGAGGCCATTGGAGGAATTGGAAGCTCTGCAAGAGCAGCAGAACAGCCGACAGGGATTAAGGTCAGGGTGGGAAGGGTGATTTTGCGCTGTCCGGGATCGGCGTGGGGGGCGTTTTGCACTTTCTCTGCTTTCTATGGTCGTGTTCATTGTAGAAACTTTGTAACATTTGATGGCTTAACAAGATTTAATTGGACTCCACTGGTTGACTCCGACACGTTCATCGGGAAGAAGCTGAAGAGAAAAATGCCGCCCCCCTCGCCTAAGTCTCCGAACAGCGCCAAAGATACAGTCCTAAAGCCCAGTTAAGGAGTAACATCTGTAGAACAAGATGTTACAACTGGTTTCAAATGTTGGTGTACGAATTCTCCCACTTGAGGGACTGAGAGACTGCCTGGTGGTGTTTGAGTGGGGACTGGTCTTCAATTCATCATTTCTTTCATTATTTTCTCCCTGTCTTCACGCTATGGAACAAACACCGGTTCCGAAGTCTACTAGAGCTTCAAAGAAAGGACTGGATTCCCATTTTGGACGTAGGGTCTAAAAAGTGTAGAAATTTTTGAGGCTGAAATACTGCCGGTATTGGCCTTCAAACTACTGACCCTGGAGCTTTCCAGCACTCTAGGCTTTAGGAGACGTTTACAGTTACCTGCAGACTATTTCTTGCCTTTGCAAGATGCAAAGGTCCGCAGTCCCTCATTTCTAGTTCATGTTAACTAACAGGTCTCATTTTCTTGAAACCTGTAAACTCCTGCGAAGCTGCGGAATCGTACCAGTAACCCACTTGGTCACAAGAGTTTACAGGTCTTTACGAGGTGGCCTTTACAGGCTTTCGCTCAGTGCCATTAGCTGCCTCCACTAAGCCAAACTGCCCCTAATTTTCGTAGTAATTATCAAGCAAAATCATTTATTCCTAGAATCGAAGCGGATACACATACAGAAAATGATAATTTAGTGAGAGAAATAAATGAGAGAGCTCAGTACTTATTAAAAAAACACGAATAATTAAAAGTTAATGAAACATTCAGCCGAAACGTCTACAAAACAAGAGCGACGAAGCAGACAACGACGAAAAGACATGGGAAGCAGTGGCGTTATGTTGCGTTCATACTTGGCGAATGAGCAATTGCGCGTTCTGAGAATCGCGCCACTGCTGGCGATCGCGCTCCGCTGCGAATCATTGGACCGTTCGAAGTCGAGTTTGCAGCAGTCCAGCGATTGACGGTAGAGCGCGACTGGTCGCAGCCGCGCGATGAATCGCTCCAATCGCGAAGTATGAACACTGTTTTAAAATTCGTGATCTACCATAATGGAGTGCTGGAGAGAATGTGTGCCTTGCGTGTCTTGGCTTGACTGGAACGGTTCGCCGACGCACCCTCTCGAGTCTGATCGGCATCAACGGCAGCATTCATTGCATGACCCTATGAGTACAGCAAAATCAATGTAGAACGAGGTGAAAATTGACCAAACATCGTTTCCTGGAGGGGAAAATATGGACTCTCCAGAAAGCTCGCATACGGAAGAAATCCAACCACGAAGAGGTCGTATTTGGTCGTTCGGGATGGAGGGGACTGCATTTCTCGTTAGGGGAATCCCTGTGAAGCACGCTTGACCCTGTCCCTCCTACCTGCCGTGCTCGAAGAGAAGTTTGCAAAAATCTGGTGATTACGCGAATGAGCTGGTGGTTGTTAGTGGTAGTTGCGGGAGAGGAGTTCTGCCGAGACTCGCGATTGAGTGGGAGGGGCGTTGTAACTCCTTATTCAGACCATGACATCCTAGCTTCTCCTTTCAAGGTTAGGAGGGTTCCAAAAAAAAATTCGGAAACAAAAAAACTCGACAAAGAACCTGAAATGCTCACTTGATCACTACTATGCCTTGAATATGTGGTGCATCTCGACTGTGAGCAACCTCCTCTCGTCCCCCCCCCCTCCATTAAGAGAAGTATGAAATGACGAACAATATTCGGAACACTTGTAAAAAATGACACTATTCAACTGTTCGTTAGTGGTAGTTTCCAATCTTTCGAAAACAGGCCAGTTTCAACCACTTTTTCTAAGAGGAGAGACTCGGTTGTAGCGGTAGTTCGACCCCCTGAATACGAATATCACATCTGCCGGCCTAGCGCCTGCGCCACAGACGCCAGCACCAAAAACCCTAAATCACCATCCGCTGAAAAGGTGGTCGTTTGATATCCTGTTTACGAATATGAAACTCAATCTTGGCTCTGGCGCTAATGGGGGACACTACGATCATCTGTGCTCTGCATAGGCTGGGCTTGGTCTGAATCTCTTCTCCCAGGTTCAGACTTGGCAGTGAGCTGAATGGCTCTGGTGTTGAAAAATAAATGCCATATTCGTGATTAGGACATCAAACAGTTCTATTATGCAAGTTTTTACCAGTTTTGATGAAAAGTGGTGGGGCGCCAAATTGGCGCGAAATGGCGCCAGGGCTAAATGAATGTCATGTTTGTAATTAGGGTACCGTATGACACCAGGATGCAAGTTTAGAGCGATTTTGGTGAGAAAAGTGGTGGCGTCAAATGGTGCCAGCGTAAAAACGAGTGTAATTTCTGTGATCAGGATACCTAATAACCCTTATGGGCAAAGTTTCATCAAAAATTTTTTTGGGTTTTCGGAGGCAGTAGATGAGTGCCTAAAAAATTATTGAAATAAGTCTCACGAGGTCTTGGCGTACCTTGGCAGAGTGCCCGCTGATGGCATGCTCCAGCCAGCGAGTCTCAGTGGCACCGGTGCCAATTCGGCGAGGAGTTTGTGGGCGACGCCAGCCTTCTGGTGGGCTTTCAGCTGAATAGCAATCCAAGAATCACAAACTGGGCCACAATAGGAGATAGCATTGAACTCGGAGATGAGAGAACTCTACCGGCTCCGTTGGGAGTGACTGATTTGAAGAGTTCCTCGAACACCACAAAATTCGTGTTTTGCCATACTGGTTTCGTTAGACCGTATCGTTGCGACATGAATCCGAGCAACGTCACCGACGGATTATCCAGTGCAAGCTGTAAAATTACAAATACAATTCAAAATTGAAAAGCAAGGGGAAGCGAACCTGATGAGCTTCGGCGTGTTCATTCTGGAGCATGTAGTCCATGATCGCTTTACCGTGTCCTTTTCGTTGTTCAGAATAGTGAACATAGAAATCGAGAAGGCACAGAACCTATAAAAAAGTGAATTTAGCACTTTTTACGTCAAGTCATCTAAAAATGACATCGTTCGTTGCTTGTTCCTGACGGAGGATGGGCCTGACTGGTACTTAAACACCACAAATTATCGCTTAGCAGTCCTCCATTTACGTGAAAACTGTTTATAACGAAGGAGTTTTAGAATGGCATGACCGAGATCTAGAGAGGGTCGAATGCCACGCCAAATGAAACCGAAATTTGCTTCCGAAACAGTTTTTACAAGGCTGAAATGTCTATAAAATGCCTCATTATGTTTCCAAGGCGTTGCTTTGCTACGGCGACTTCTACAGTACTCTTCGCAAAGTCTCAGAAACTTGAGCCCCACCATTATTCGCTTTCTAATCTCACTTCCACGCCGAGAACGGCTCAGTAGTGAAATGTATAGATATTGCTTGAAGTGCCGATGAACTTGCCTTATCATTAGTCACTTTTATCGTTGCTCAGTAAAAGATCTAATAGCTATTGTTGTTCGCCCTAGCCTCTAACTTGCCCTCATGTATGGCTGCCCCAATGTGGCCCCTGGACCAATAACCTCACCTTGTGCCTTTTTCTTCAACTATACTATTTTCAGAATGAATTGCATCGTCCTGATAGCTTTGGTAGGACTCAGCCAACAGTACAAAATGGAGAGAGCTGGATATTCTGGCGTGAACAATGCTGAACAAGTGCAACAGACGGCAGCAAGATCGCCAAGGAACAACCCGGTCGATTACACCGCGGTTGGCCCAAACGTGCCGCCCAAGATGGCAGGACCAGCGTCTTATCAAGCCAGACCCCCTCCAGCTCAGGTGGCACCTGCTGTCACTCGGACCGGACCGGCTCCTGCTCGAACCGGGCCGGCTCCAGGTCCGGCGGGCAACTCTGGCGGTGTAAGTCACTGAACTATCCTTTTCATTCAGTCGAATCTGGAGTGGTTTGAACTTTTGGGATGATGTGCGAGCATGTGACAAGACAATCGTAACACGTTGCGCTGATGGGTCTGGCGAGCGGCGCCCTTCCCGAGTCGTCCTGCCTGGCCATTCCAAATGTTAAAGGGGCGAGAAACGCCCGTCATGTAATCTTGTCGTTCCCGTTAATCCGTCTGAATTCGTATGTGTGCCGGGACTTCAATCGACGTAGTACACCAAAAATTGTCGATATGTCGCGCGCGACGGAGCGACAAACTACGACTGTCTTGTCCGCCTCCTAATATGTGCCCTCTGGGGCTGTTTTTGACCCTATTCAGAGACAAATCACTTAGAAGGCACTTGGATGGACGTAGACAGAGAACGTTGTGCCCTTTTTATTGATGCGAGGTGGTAGGAAAGAGAAGTGCGTCAATGAGGTGATTCGCTGTCTCCGCCCATACAAGCAGCGCGGAAGACGCCTTCAAAACATATATCTTCTTCATTTCAGAACACCTCCCCGACTACATACAAGAACATGAGACCTTTCACGTTTCCAAGAGGCACTTATTTGCCAAGTGAATCTGAAAAGGGAAGCGTGCTCGCTAGCGCTGCAGGTACATCAGGCGTGGATCAGGTGGGTCGAAGAACGTTCAATCTTTTCCTTTCTGGCCAGAACTGTCGGAGGCACTCGGGCGGTTCTATTGGAGACACACTCGACGATAATCGCATGCGTGGAGACTCACATCAGTTCTCCTCTTATTGGTGAACCCCTACTTCTGATTCTGAGAAGTGGAGTTTTGATTCAAGCGTACAGTTGTTGTGAGTCTCCTCATATCCCACTATCTTCAGAATAGGAGCTAGTAGACACACGAGTGATTGGATTCATTTGATAGTGCTTAAAACGCTAATGGCACGTGAATTTGTGATTTTGGCTCATTTAGAGTGGCGTCAATATAGCTGCCATTCTGATCCCCAACACCAATCCGTCTTCCAACGGAGCTATACAGGGACATATGCGTGGACGACCAGTCGATAAAGCAACTCTTTCACGGGTAGAAATTTGATCTAAAACTTCTAAAATCCATTCAAGCATTCACAGAACGGATTTTCCAGCTCACCAATGGCCAGAGTACCGGTGACAACGATGGTGAAGACCAACTTGGTGCGATCTTCATCGTTGATTTTAACGAATTCATGCAAGATGCTTCCTCACAGGTAATCCCAGAGATGAAGCCTTTCCATATTATATTGACGGCAGATCGCTGGGAGCGGGAGGATGTTGCGAGCGTCATTGGTGGAAGACTGAGAGAGGGCATTCTGTTCAACTGTCCAACTTTGTGGGGGCGTAGCCAACGCCCTTCTACCAACGACGCTGGCAACAATCGCCCGCTTCCAGCAATCGTGCCCATTGTCTTCAAGTTTCACTAGCAAGTGTAAAATGACTAGCTCTAGAGAAGAGGGTTCTCTCCGGATGGAGCGAATCAAGCAGCAGCAAGTGATTCAGCTCCTCAACTATCTGGAAGCTATTCAGCTATCCTCATCCCTAATCTTGGAGGAAATGGCAGAAGGAGGCACAGGAAGGTTAGTTTAAATGAAAAAATGTGGGGGGGGGTGGTCTGTACATCTCCAGCCACTGCACTTTCGCCAATCCGCTTAAGGTCAGGACTTCCTAGCTCCGGCCGGCAGCGTGGCGAAAGCAACGTAACAAAGTGCGGCACACGTATTTCATTCGCTTCGGATTCC